GTACTGCCCCTCCCTCAGTAACAGTTGGATAATGATTATAGTACGGTTATATATAGCCCTTAATAGGACCCCTAATGTAGACTGTTACTTGGGGGGGGGCAGTACCCAAGGTTTAGGGTTGCATTTCATCCTGGACTCCTGCTCTTCCAAGGTAGGAGGTGTTTTATTGCGCTGTGAAGACTCCGCCTGTACAAGAACCCTACACCAAGACCCTCCTAGTGCCCTTAATTGGGGTTGTAGGTCCCTAATAGTGAGTCCTTAGGCCTAAGTACTTGGAGGGTCTAGGCCAGTCTAGGCATGTTCGAGTTTCTTCATGTATGGCTTCCTCATGTGGACACATGTGGACACCAAATGTGAACACTCACCAGCCAGCAATCCCCTTACATGCCCGCCGAATCCCGTAAACGGACTCACGGCATATGCAAGTGCTAACTACATCCAACCGTTCCCATCTAGGCCTGGGTAGCCTACAGGAGCCACATTAATCAATCGATTAATGTGAGGCGGTGCCACAAAATCCCATCCACATCTTGACCCCGATCCAGCCCGTCGTCCACAAACCCCGAAGCTTCATGCACTGAAACCATTTCAATTGTTAACCTCTTAACCTTAGTGCCGATGGAGCCAGAATCCGTTAAACCCCTGCTGGCCCTTGCTGCGCCCTGAAACCTTATGAACACAACCGAGTTGCATCACCAGGGTGGACACCATCTCCCTTGTCGACGTTAGGGTACATCTCCATCATCGACTGCCACACACTTAGAGCTTAGTATGTACGGCACGGTCCTGCCTGCATATCCATCATTGTCCCCTAAACCCTGAACTGCTTGGGGCTCAGGTTGAATGTCCAGGCTTCTGGGTATGACCCCATGATCATCTGCCAAGGGATCAAAAGTTGTTTTGCAGTCAGCTGGTGTGTTGCACACCTAGCCACTGTATTGCGTACATATCAACCGTGACGTGCTGTGCTGTCGAGGAGGCTCCAGGGAAACTCGCAGAGATTTTTGTGCGCTTTAAACAAGTACGCATGTCGAGTTTAGGGCTGTGCTTAGAGTTGCCCCAATTTCCGAAGGGGTAACATTCAATACCACGAGGGTCCCATGCTCGGGAGTCATGCACCTACGCGATGGGATTGCCCCTGCGCCGAAATCGGCACCGCAAATGGCGCAACCCTTGAAAATAACAAGATGATTACAGAAGGGCACTCCTCTTCCTAGAGGATCAGCATTCGCAGGAAGAAGCGTTTAATATGGAATGATGACGGCAACCCAGCATGAGCACACGAGGCAACACTCATCAGCGTCACATAGCAATGACAGCAAGATCTTCAATGCCGATCCAAATCCTTAATGCTACACCTGGCTTTACTCGCGCTCCTCAAATTGCATCACTCTTCTGTTTGGAGGCGGGGTGTAGGAGCTTATCATAAATCCCGAAACCCTAAACCCCTAAACCAGAAACCCTTAAACCCCTAAACCCCTAAACCATTAAACCCCTAAACCCCTAGACCATTAAACCCCTGAACCCCTAAGCGCCTAAACCCTGAACACCCCAGAACACTGTGAGCTTCTCACCTTCACGCGATCGAAGGGGAATGGAGCGATCTGCTCCAGTGTGCAGATGGCCACATTCTTCAGCCCAAGCCTTCAAGCGTTTAGGGGTTTAGGGGTTTAGGGGTTTGAGGGTTTAGGTTAGGGGTTAGGGGTTTAGGGGTTTAGGGATCCCCAAACTCCAGTCCCCAAACCATATAATCCTAGCATGGGCATTGGCAGTTCAGGGCAGAGCTTTGAATTAACAATCCCTCTAAGCCCTACCCAAGGCACTGAATGAAGAGGATTGCTCTGGCTGTTTGAGGTCCAGCAGGCTTTCACATACACCCTATGGAGCATAACTTACAAAGCGTAAGCCCTAAATCTTGAATCCCCGAACCCCCCCACCCGAACCAGCTTAATCCCTTCCAAATCTGCCCGCATATGATCCGCAAGACACTAAATGCCTACAGCAAAAGCGTACTCCCTAAAGCCCTCAGCGTCTTTACCCAAGACCCCCCAATCAATAAAACCCTGAAAGCTGCCCATTAGGACTACATGAATCCCAGAAGTATGTGGACTGATGGCCTCTTGGGATATGTCGTTTGGGGCTTAGGGTTTAAGATCTATACCTGAACCCGAGAAATATGTAGAATAATGGCCTTTTGGGCTAGATTTGTCTGTTTTGGGCTATGATTTCACAAGCCCTAAACCCTAAACTGTGTTCAGGTAAGCCCCAAACCCTGAAACCAAAGGCCAAGCCGCTGCTCTCTCTCCGCTGCGAGCTCGTAGTAGAGCTTACCGGAACAGAAGACGAGGCGGTTCACCTGAAACTAGCAAAAAAGGGTTTGGGGTTTTGGGTTTAGGGTCTAGGGTGGTTAAGCTTTACCCCCGACCAAATAAACTGGGGATGTATACTCCTGAACAGGAATGCTACATGTCCAAAATCACAAGTTTGTTGGAGTACCAAGCCTTTGGGCTTTGGGGGGAGAGGGGGGCGGTTTAGGGCTTGGGGTTTAGGGGGTTGGGGTAGGGGGGTGCTGAAGTTTGGGGATCAGGGTTCAGTTCAGGGTTCAGGGCTTTGACATTTGGTAGGGTTTAGGTTGTGGGTTTACAGGATTTTAGGAACTAGGAGTTAAAGGTGTTGAGGCTTGGGGTTCTGGTTTCGTACAGAGTGCCCAGTTGAGGGGGATAGGGGCATGGGAAGATGCAGGATAGGTATAGACTATTTAGTAAGTAGCAAGTGTGTCTATCAAGCAAGAAAACAGCCGCGTTAAGTAGCTTGTAGACAACAACTGTGGATGAAGCAAATGTCGCACAACCTATCCTTACTGGTTCTTAGTAGGGGATAAGGGAAGATTATCATGATATTGTCCCTGTATGATATATTCCCTTATTACCTACTAATCGCCAGTAAGATGGCACATGCGTTGCTTCAGGTAGATTGTTTGTTGCCCAATTTTGGAGCCCCTATAATAAGGATTAAAAGCTATCAGCTACTGGGGTCTTCGTTGGGGCTCCGTATTTCATGGAAACCACGTCATGAAGTTTTCCAGAACCCTCCTGCCATGTGTGCACAAGATACACCCTGAACCCAGTAGATGTGGCATGTTGGGCAAGAGTTCAGGAGCCCCTGAAAGCTACATTGTGCTTGCGAGTAAGGTTTCCAAAAGCCAGACCAACCAGAATGCTCGAGAGAACTTTACAAACCCCTTCTAGTCCGAAGATACTCAAAAGCAACCCCAATTTGGAAAAGCACTCTTCACATGGATCTCCGTAAGGACGACATGGAATATTTTAAGCAAAAATGCGTAGCCCTGCTCTTATCTACCCCCCCCCCTCCCCCAAAAAAAAAGAATAATCCTAGTGATCCAAAACAAAGGCCCAATAGGACCCGTAGTACCTGAAAGCATTGCCCCTCAACCCTCGAGTCGCAACCCCTCTGTGTATAATACATATCCGCATAAGCCGCATTGTTGTCCCCGCCTGCTCTGGATTGGCAGCAATCTCGGGATCCCGCTCCGGAATTAGGCGCTTGAAGCGTACGCCAGGCCCCATGTCGCTCAAAGGGCTCACGCACCTTAAAGAAACTCTCTGACACACTTTAGAGCCGGGTGTTTCAAGGGCCTTTGGGTTAGAGCATGTTTTGAAAGTTTCAGGGTTCCAGGGCTTCGGGTTAAGGGCTTAGGGCCTAGGGTCTGGGCTCTAGAGTCCTAGGTTTAGGGTGTGTTTTGTGATCCAAATCTCTAGGTACCCAAAGATTGGAAACTCCGAATCCCTAAGGGTCCAAGGACATGATAGGGTTTTAGGGCCCAAATACTATAATATTAGTGGTATTTGGGCCCTAAGACCCGGTTTAAGACCCTATTATTTGGGTCCTTGGGCCCTTAGGGTATACATGTCATCGCTAATTACATGGCCACCAGGGGTGAAGTATCTAGAGCGGGCATACAAGATGTCAGGTTTTAAGTGTGTGTGAACTTGTTTGTTGCAGGTTTATGTGTATATTCATCTTCAATAAAGGTTTGTTTTGCAAGCTGGTGGGCCTTTCTTCTTCGATTGGCCCCATCGATTTGTTCCATTGGGACCTCGCTCCCCTGACATGTTGCAATCCCCAAGGGCCCATGTGAGCCACTGTCTAAACTCCTAGTATCCCCCTTAATAAGCCCTATAGTAGTCCCCTATATAATCCCCTATATAACCCCCCTTTAAGGAGTTTAGACTATAGTTCATGTAGTTGTATGGTACATACTTACGGCCCAAAGGTGTTCCCATATAGCTACGTTCGGGCTCAAGTATACACTATATGGCTACATGGATCCTTCGGGAGTATTTGTTGCTGTCGCGATCCTTTTACATGGATGTCGTTTTCTGAACAGTTGGGACTCTGGCTTTGGGCATTTTGCGGTGCAGTTTCACTATCCCTAAGGGTCCAAGGACCCAAATAAAAGGGTTTTTAGGGCCCCAGTACTATACTACTGTTGATGGACGAAATCCTGCATCAGTTTTCTTCTGCCAGCCTTCCCTGCCAACCCTGAATCTTAATATTGATTAGCCCCAAAAGGGTCAAAAAGAGCACGTGCGCGAATGACCGAAATCCTGCANNGATTAGAGGGGCAGGGGGAGATCAATCACTGACAAGTGTATGCTGTTGATTTAGCAGGTCATGCACGATTTTGTCCATCCACCGTATTAATGGTATTTGGGCCCTCAAACCCTATTATTTGGGTCCTTGGACCCTTAGGGTATGGGCATGACTTGTGCTTGAGCGGGTCATTGGAATGCGAAGTGCGGGTAGGAGAAATTACCTGAATTGGTTCCTGTAGTTGTGCGCAGGAATCGCAGTAGCCTTACCAAAGCCCGTTCAGTGAAAATCCTAACCCTAAACCCTGAGCCCCTCAAACCTTGAAGCCATCGGAAGGTGTTTAGTCATCAGGTGGATACTCTCCATAAACCTCCCATCAGAACTTCCATTCCACGCGGTTTGGGTTGGCTACCTAGGGCTTTGGTAACAGGAGTTGTTGTACGGTTTTGGGCAAAGACATGATTATGGGGTACTTGGACCCCTAGGGCTTCACAACAAACATTTTGGAAACAGCCACCTGAAGGTGCTACTACCATTCGAATAATCCTGATTTCCATGCTACTTAGAGCTCGTGTACAGCTTTCGTGTTGGGAACTTCGGTGGCTACGAAAAATCCTGCATGACTTAATACCAATTTCCTGGGGAACTATCGTATTGTAGTATTCAGAAAAAACCCTCAAAGGGTTTGGGGTTTAGGGTTTGCCAAAGGAAGCCCTAGGGAAATGCTAAACCCCAAACCTTGAACCCAACCCCTATCCCCTACACCCTAACCACCGAATCATAAAGCCTGAACCCTACACCCTCAACCCTAAACCCTAAATCATAAACCCTCAACCATTAGGGCAGCCTGTGCTTTCGAAGGCTAGCGGCTGGCGAAGGCGGAAGAGATTCTTGGGGGACGCAAGTACAAGAGGCTTTCGGAAGTCCCGGTGCTGCTGCCTGAAGGAACCCAAAGGGACCATGTAGGGTTTAGGATTCAGGGTGTAGGGCGTAGGGCTCAGGGTTTAAGGATATGACATATACTTAGGGTCCTCAAGGGGTTCCCACTTAGCTACTTTGGGCTCCAAGTATACACTGTATGGCTACATGGACCCTCTGGGGAAGCCAACCGGGGTCATAGGATGTATTCTCTTCCTTCAATGTAGGGTTGTATACTTATATAGGGATAGACAGTAGTAACAGGGTTTGGTGTTTCCGAGGATCAGGGCTGATAGGGTTAAGCTTAGATAGCCCAGGGAATCCAAGTGTCCAAATCATACCTTCTTGAGGCCCTGATGTCAAGAAATGTTACCTGCTTTGCGCTGTTTGGATCCGTAGGGTAAGGTGTAGAATGTACAGCTTCAGTAGGATTTATGGTCAAAAATGTTCAGGCCTAGAGTCCAGAACAACGCTTTCCTTACTGAAAGGGGCAGTCGTAGCCTTGGGGTTGTGGATCTGGGATTTAGGCTTTAGGGTGGATTTGGAGCTCAAGAGCAATGCATGGCTTGGAGGGCAACATGTTTGTCAGTCTCCCATCTTCCATGTAGAATATGTGAATATATATATATATACTTATATACACGTATGTATGTGGTTCCGAAAATGAGGGTTACCCTTTTAGGGGTCCCTTACTTCGGTAAGCATCCCTTTGTATGGCATTCCACCACCGTATTCCGTGTGGTCCCCTGCTTCCAAAAAAACTATCACAAAACAGCACCCATGCTGATAAGTGCTCCATGACACGTGAGTCTTCTCTGCTCATGTGCTTCATACGTCACAACACTATTCTACTCAGGCCCTTGGTAATTTCCCCAAGTTAATGTTCCCTGGACCATGCTCCTGAACCGAACCTATGAAGCCCTGTCAACTCCTCGCTTGCAGTAGTAACCAAAAGAGAATACTCTCCTGGGTTGCTGTGAAGGAACTTCAGCTTCAGCTACAATAGCAGAGGAGCCCTATTACTTTTTATATATGACTCATTATATGACCATATTCTGGAACCCTACGCCCTGGAACCCTAAACCCTTAGACCCTGAGCCTTAAACCCTCAAACCCTAGCCAGTGATTAATGGTTTAGGGCTTAGGGTTTAAGGGTTTAACGTTTGAGGGTGTAGGGTTGAAGGGTTTAGAGTTTAAGGGTTTAGGGTTTGAAGGTTTAAGCGTTTAGGGTTTAAGGGTTTAAGAGTTTAGGGTCTAAGGGCGCAAGGGATTGGGGTTGAAGGTTTTAAGGTTGAGGGTTTAGGGTTCAGGGTTTAAGGTTTAGGGTTCGGGGGTGTGCGGTTTAGGGCTCGGAATTTTTATAGTTTAGGGTTTAGGGGTATGGTATATACTGAGGGCCCAGGGATTTTCCCAAAAAGCTACCTTGGGTCCCAAGTATACAGTATTCACTATATGGCTACATGGATCGCTTAGACAGGGTTTAGGACTTATGGTTTAATCGTCGCCCTGCCCCAAGCCCACGTGATCTGCCTCATGGCACCCTGCTGAAAAAACTAAATCTATAACTTACTGGTTCTTAGCAGGGAAGAAAGGAATGAAATTCCTATATGATCCCTGTAGAACATATTCCCATATTCCCGTCAAAGAACCAGCAAGATAAAGGATTGCTTTTCACGCTCTATGTTATCTAGGGGTTATATAGGGATTATGTTGCCTTATTCCCTGCTAAGAACCAATAAATTAAGGGTTCATGTACTCAGTACTTGGATGTTTGGACGGGCGTAGCAGCTATTGCAATGCAGTTTTGGAGTATATGCGGCATGTCACGAAATATAGGCTTTGTATGAGTGCGGCAAACTCTTCAACCCCGTAGAAGCGACCCTATGTCTCGAATTTCGACAACTTCCGCACAATTGTTGAACCATCCTCTAGTACCAGATGCCTCCCGGTACCTTTTGAAGGGGGTACATGGCCCCTAGTTAAGCTATATAGAGGGTAGATGGAAAGTCTAGATATATGAAGACCCCGTGTTAGACTTACATCAAGTTTAGCTACATCAGCCCAACACGGCATTGATGGAGGCAACCCTACAAGACCGAGGACAGCCAAAAGTCGTATAATTGTCATCACTTCTAATACCTGAGGTGGAGCAGGCTTTCTGGCATCAACCATAGCTGTTACCAGAAGCTCAGAACTTTTGATGATAACGCCGAAGCCCAAGCCTGGAAACGCTGAAGCCCCAATCTGGGAATCCCAAACCACAAGCTTCTACATGCTATAGATCCAAAACTCTATAGTCCCCCTTAAGTAGATAGAATATGGCTTTGGGTATATTATAACAAGATCCCCATATACCCCATATTCTATCTACTGAAGGGGGAATAAAAAACCTTTGAACCCTAGAACATAAATCTTCCTACCTCCGGAGGGCATGGAAGTAGTTGGCTGGTGTGGAAATGTTCATCACCTCGTGGCATCAAGAGGTTCAAGGACTAGGGATTTCGTTTGGGGTTCAGGGTTAAGGCAGTTCTGCCAGGTCGAGGCAAGCCCATGCACAAGTCATCCTCGTTTCTTCACACGGACCATGCAGCCATGCTTCATATCAAAACCCTCTGGCCCAGCTCTGCCGTTTTCATGCCTCGTGTGTAGCCAACCCCTTGAGTCTAGTGACTAAGGTCATGCAGCATTCTGTCAATCAACAGTGTCATATGAGCTAGAGTCCGTAGGCTACCGTGTATAGATCATGAATATTATAGGTTCTCAGCCTAATGCACCTCATGTCCACCTTCAACGCTGTTGATGGGCGATATCTTGCACCTCCTAGGGTCCTATATACCAACACGCATACTTCCTATGGTACAACACCTCATTCGTATGTAAAACAGTGACCGCCTCCTGCATTGGGATGTACAGGCTACGCTCCCTCCGTGGCATGGCAGTACATAAGGCCCTTATTGCAGTCTTTGTTTCGGGCCCTAAGCCCTAAACTCTAAACCCTAGTAGGGCACTTGTTTTACAGTCCTTGTTTTGGGTGTATTGTTGGGGCTTCCAGGGT